TCGAGCGGTTTTCGAGCATTTTGGTAATGAAAAAAATTTGCAAATTTTTTCAACAATTTTTTGCCTTAAAATGCTCAATATTTGTTAAATTTATATAAAATTTGTACCCGATAATATTTCTACTGCTCCAAAGAACCTATATCCCGAAAATGAAAGTTATATATGCCAACAATAAGTTGCTAGAGCACTTTAAAGGCTCAAAATTGACCCCAAAATAAGGCAATGTTTACCGTTGTTTTTACGACAGAAACCGAATTGGTTATTTACAAAAATGAATCTGTCGACAGGTTTGGAATTTTATCCTTGAAACGCCACACTTTTCTTTGAAATCGCTTTATTAGTTCTCGTGCAATAAGCGTTTTTGTGAAGCTCTAAAAATTACAACTACCTTAAGGTAAGACGTATTCTACGTCAAAAAAAAAAAACAATATCCAAATATTCCTAAAATTGTATTTACCGACAGCATGTAACTCTATGGAATGTAGGCTACCAATTTGTTTTTAAACATTGTTCGTTTCATGGTTGTAAATAAATTTGAATGAGTAAAGTATTATTTTGTGTAACGACTTGTGCCCCAGAAGAGCACTACCACAACCAAGCGACAGATAAAAGTGAGAGGCGAATTTATACAAGGTGGTGTTGATGGCGAATTTAGAATTTCGCCGCGGTGCTTCTTTATGTCAAAATGTAGTGTTGTTTATTGTAATATGAATTCGCCTTGTTTACAAAAGACACATCATTATGACATTAGGAAGTACCGCGGCGAAAATCTAAGTTCGGCATCAACACCACCTTGTATAAATTCGCCTTGCTGTCGCGCTTTCATAATTTCGCTCTCATTTCATATGTTGTTGCCTTCAAATACTGTTAATTAGTGTTGGGCAGTATCGATACCAAAAGTACTCAGAAATCGATTCTCAAAAGGATCGACGGTACCCGATTTTTAAAAGTATCGATACTGATTTCTCCAAAGAACTCAGTACTCACAAAAGAACTTGAAAATACTCAATACTCATAAAAGGAACTCGAAAGTACTCACAACTTAAAAGAACTCGGAAGTACTCAGTACTCAAAAATACTCTGTTCCATTAATTGCTTTGATACATGTACTCAGGATCGAATCAAGGTACTCAGTATTAAGTGCCGAATGGACTTAAAAAGTACTGAGTTTTATTTACATTTAACGGTATTTAGAAATGATTGCACATTACAGTTAGCAATTTATTTGACGTAATTTGGGATTCATATATTAATTTAAATAAAATACTGCCAGCATGTGAGCTTTCTACACTTACAGGTCTATTCTGCGCTGGTAATAAAAAGTTTGTAACCGGTAAATAAAGTTACTGTGAACTTTTAAAACCTTTCCGCATTCTGTGTACTCTTATAACCGGTAAATTTTGTTACCATCTCATAAGCTGGTAACAAATTATTGCCCCGTGAAATATGCAATGCCAGGATTTGCACAACTTTTCATAGCTGAATTGCTGAATATTTTAACTGCATTACCAACGTACCTAGAATCACGGTAACAAGAACTGGTAACATTTTTGGTAATACAATTTTCCGGTTACAAAATCTTCGGTAATGTGCAGAATAGACCTGTAAGTATTGAAATGTTACCAACATGTGTATATTTAAAGAAAGTACTCCGTACTCTGAAAAATACCCCATCCTTAAAAGTATCGATGCCAAATAACTCGATCCTCAAAAGTACTCGATACTTCCCAACACTACTGTTAATACATAATTGTCGTATCCAAATTATATCATGTGGCAGCACTAACAGTCGGCGCGTTCATATTGTTTAAAAAAAGCGCAATTTCTGAAAAAATCGCCAAAAATCGTCAGTTTTATTTTTTATAAAATTGATGAAATCGATTTAACAAATCTTTTATTTTAAAAATGAGATCTTGTTATAATATAGTTTTTAAAACCAAAAACGAATATAAGACCTTTAGAGGGTATTAATAAATAACACAAATCACTTATATAATAGTGACGTACAAACAACTTTCTTTAAAAATATTTGTTTCAACACATTTTGCAATAGGACTGCGCAATTATTAAATTTATTATAACTCGTATTAAATGATTAATCGTACAATACGCTTGGCGAGATCAGCTATTTCCACAATTTCTTTAAAATCACCTATTGTGTCTGAATGATTTACATTTCTGTTGTTGTCATATATTGAGCTATTGAACCATGATAACATACTGTTTGATATTGGAAACGTTTTGCAGCAAAAACTATTAGCCTTCATATAACACTTTATTCGAACTATTGAATTAAGGCTTTCCTCCCCCTTATTCTATTTCGAATCGTTGTTTTTGTTGAATTCATTACGGAAAAAAATGCGCTCAACAAAGCATGTGCTGCTGCAAGGATAAGAAGAATATTATTTATATTTCCAAACATTTTATTGCCTGTTGCGGTTTTCACTCTGTAAGCAATAATCCAAAATTCTTCAGAGTCGGCTGGAATGGTTCTGAGAAAAGTTATTCCGTGGGAAAGTCAAAAGATTTATATATTCAGTTTCCGCTGCTTTTCTTTCTTTCAAAATCAAATAGTGAATTGGCAGGTCCCTGAAACTCGCCCTCTTGCGATTTACACACTTTTCTGGTGACAAAACCAAAGCATTTTTAATGGTATTTAATTGACTAGGTAATCGTTTCAAAAGTCCTTCGATTAGGGTAATGTAAACATTTTTGACAGTCTTTTAATATGCTTCTGAAGTCAAGTTTATCACGCAGTTCATTAGCTTCTTCTGTAAAATTATCGTGGAAAACTAAGTTTTGTATATTTTTATAATTGGAAAAAAATTATCTGAAGGGAAAAATAGCCAAAAATCGCCAAAAAGCGCCAATGGCGATTTCCTAATTTTTTACGCGCAGATATCCAAAAAAAATCGCCGAATTGGCGCGAAATCGCCAAGTCTGGACACTCTGTCTCTGCATGCTTGGGATGGGTATGTACACTTAAATATATATACTCAGATGTGAACAGTCAAATACGAGCGTAATCAATTTTTAAATACGAACATTTTTTAATGATAATCAAATATAAAGTTTTCATTTTTACTATGCATTATTTCCCTCAGTGTAGATATTTCAAAAAAAATATAACTTAATTATTTTAAAAGTGTAAAAGTTAAACTTCGCAAGCCTGTGTGACTATTTTAATCGTTGTCAAAATTTACGGAGGTACATACATACATTTGTATGTAAACGTGAACAGCTGTGACTGTTTCAAGAATAGAAACTCTTTGCCATACATACATAATTTGACAATACACACACATTCATTGGTATTTCTATCCAAATGTAAATTACACATTACTCATACGCCATGACGTTCAACGCCAAGCAAAATAGTCCACAGACATAAATTCGAATAGAAACGAGGTCACTTTTGTTGTTTTCGATTTAGAGTCAGAAATAGAGACACACTGATTAGTTCCTTTAGTGTGTAAATATGTAAGTATGTATATGTATTTCAGTATGTACGAATATAATAGAAGCATTGACACCATTTTCGATTAATATGCCAAGACGCCGATGTGTAAACAACAACACGCAGATATACATGTGTACATACATACATACTGAATGTATGATGTATGCGCGCATGTAAGTGCGAGAATATCAAGCAAACATACATACATACATATCGTTACCTTAATTCACAAAAGCTCTAACCACTGCGGTTTTCACAGATTTTGGAAGAGTGTAATAAAATACACCCTCAATAAAATTTTTAAACTGTTAGTACCAAAAACAATGGAGTTACATGCCACTTTAGTTTTTGTGTTGCCATTCTTTGGACTAAAAATGTGGTTTTTGTGTTCCTTTACATTTTCCTCTTATTCTCTTTTAGTGAACGCTACACTCTAAAAAAAAATTGTGTAGATTTCCTACCTAAAAGGTTGGTTACTGACTTCCCACCTTATTATTCGCGAAATTCCATGCTCGATTATTCAACGAATAGTTTGTTTAAATTTCGGACTTTTTAGAGTGTAATATAGCTGCTGCGGCGTGCGTAAATTTACTAAGAAAGTGTGTACAAGCTACAAAATACACATCTGCTGTTTGATTTCACCCTTAGAATTGTGTAAAGCCACTAACAAAAAGGATTTTTACACACGAAAATGTGTAATCGAGGAAAATACATATTCATCGTGTAAATTTACCAAAAAATTTAAAAATAAACAAAAATATACTCGATTTATAGTCGCATTTTTAAACAGATTTTTTAGAGTATACCGCTCTTGTATTTTGACACTTTTCAGACTTTAGTCAGAAAATATAAAGAATGGACCTAATATTTTCAACCCAACTTCACTAATGTCTATTTTTTTGTTTTTTTAAATAAACCAAAATTTTGCCGGTAATGAATCCGGTAGCATGATTTTCGTTAAATGTCATAAACTTGTTCAAGGAATGTCAATAAATGAAACTAACTTCTATTTTTGTATCATGGTTAGAAGTTTGTTAGCTCACAAATCATTTTTAACCGATGTAATGTGGAACGATTTTCCGTCATCCCTTGTCAAATTTGTGTTTCGAGAACGAAAAAATTACACTGAAGATGGCACAATGCCGAAACCGGTTTGTCTCCAAACCAAATTTGACAAGGTATGACGGAAAATCGTTCCACATTACATCACAGTCCTACCCTGTCGGAAACACCAACAACGAAAATGAGAATTTTTAACCGACTTCAAAGAAGTAGGAAGATTGTCAATAAATCGCAAGGTTTTTTTAATTTAATATTTTGGTATTAATATTACCGGATAACTTTGGACCACCGTTGAACCGTTTTCGATTATTTTTGATCGGTTTTATGGTCGTCGCAAATATTTGAAATTGCAGATTTTAACAATTTCTAAAGGGGCATGTAAACTTCCTTCTTTTGCCTTATTTAATTTCATTTATTTGTTTGTTATTCAACTTGATATTTTTTTTCTACTGGCTGGTGCTTCTTCTGAAAAGTTCTTCAGATTTCTGTCAGTTGATTATTTTTTTAGAATTAATTTTTTTTGATTATTCTTATTTTTATTACTTTTAATTCTATTTTTAGTTCGTATGCGCTCGGTATTTTGATGTTGTATGTTCCTCGCGTGTCAATTGCCAAAGATCTTAGCGCCAAAGGCATGAGATGCTCTTAATAGCTAATTAAACATACAGACATTCATACATACATAGGTATGTATATGTACTCAGTATTTTTGTATAAAGCATATGCATGTTTGTGCTCATATTAACTTACACATATACACACTTAATCAGGGGTGTATTAAAGTATGTACAATATTGCTTTGTATCGGCTTCCTCCTACTTGAAACGTCTCGATTCTGTCAATACGCCACCATCGCGCGAGAGATTCAAATGCAAATAATTTTGCTTTTCTGCTTATTTGTTTTGCGAAACGACTTTAGCGCCACTTGTATTAAGGAGAGAGTATGCGCATAAAGAGGTGCGTATGTATGTATGTACGTATATAAATAAAAGATTAATTTATATGAACCCAAAGTTTTCGATTATTTTCAAAATTGTTTGTTGCGAAGAAGATAGGAATTTTGTGAAATTTGCCTGCTGTGCTGATTATCATTTGCATATAACTGCATATAATTACAGTGGTGACCACATAATTAGGGACACTACTGCTGTACAAGTTTTGATAATTTTTTTATGTAACTCAAAGCTTCAAACCTTGTAAAGAATTTATAAAAATTCGCCAAATTAAAAAAGGGTCATTAAATCTCAAAACTTTTTAATCAGAATTTCTAGAAAAACTTCCAGTATGCAGTTTTGTAGGAGTAGTGGCTAGGAATTCGATTTAATTTTTGAGATTTTTTTTTTGCTGACGGTGTTGTACATTTTCTTCCATACAAGTAATTTGGAAAAAAAACCAAAAATTAACGACAAGTTCTGGCTATGTCAAGCTGGCACTTTATTACACAAAAATTGGATGGGTGATTAAGCTACACACCTAAAATATTCCTAACAAATCTAATTAAGAATAAGAAGCTCGTTTTTTTTTTACCAAAGTTTGTTGAATTTATTTCTTAAATATTACACAAAGTTTGTAACTTGGATTTATACGGTTTTTGTTAAAAAATTAACTGTATTTTAATAAAAAAATATCTAAAATGAATTAACCAAAAGAAAAGTAATTAAAATTTGTCAATATGTGATGCGCTTATAATTATGAAACGAGGTGTACAAACATTCATATGTACATACATACATACATATGCATGAAAGCACATAATATAATTTAGTACATTAGTTCAGTTTGTTTTTAATCTTTTCCGTTTTTTGTTCAATTCTTTCTCGTGCTTACTTGCTGTCTGCTTTTCGATTTCTAGCTTTTATTGTTGTTTTTTAAATTATTTTTTATTTTAAGTAACTCACGTTTTGCTAAGGCGATTTATTTCACGAAATTAATGTCGAAATAGTCACACATACTATGTGTATGAATTTATTTATATATTATTTATAGATTTTTTGTTGCACATACCCATATACACAAATATATCTACGTTTATTTCCGTTACGTCTTTTGTTTTCGCGTTAAATTTTTATTTCTCCATGGCCCAGTATTTCTTTGTTGTCGTATATATATACATACATACATACCTATGATTACTGTTTTAACTGTCTGTTTGTGCTTTTTTATTGAGTTCTTACCGGCATTTATACGTAGGGATATACGTGCATACAAACGTATGTTCTTTTGCATGCAAATTGTACAGTTTTCAAAGAATTTTGCCACATGTCTCTAAAACGTGTAATATTTTACCTACCACTCAGGCGAGTTGGAAACGTGTTGAATGTACACATTCACGCATTTCATTCATTTCAGTTACTAAGAAGTTAAACCGATAATATACATAATATGTATGTTCATTAGGGTGCATTTTTTTGGGAACAAAAAAACCGAAGGAACTTTTTCTCGAAGAAAGTCTTAGGAACTTTCTGACAGCGAACGAAACGGGAACAGATCTTCTCTGACGTATTCGCGAAGAATAGAAGCGAGAACAACGTTTTTCACATAGCGTTCTTTAGTTCGAAATGTTTGAATATTAAAATTAATCAGAAAAGAACTGAAAGATAACTATGCATATTAAGTCAACGAATGACTTAAGACACGAACTTTTCTTGTACAGAAACTTTGTTCCATAAATGGACAATTTGGAGGTTGAAATGAGCCAGATTACCTAGGTCTTAGAATTAACGATCGTGGTTCTCACTGAAACTATTTTTCAGTCAAACACGCAGACGCCCTTCTCCTTTTTAACGTAAAGTTCTCAAAACTTTTGTTCTCGTTTTGTTCTCTAGCAAAAAGTTCCTCAGAGTTTTGTTCTTATTTGATCCTCGTTGAAATTCTTCTCGATACTTTCGTTCTCATTTTGTTCTTATTGGAAATTTTCCCGAAAGTTTGTTCTTCTTGATCACGTTTCCGAAAGCTTCGTTCGCATTTTTTTTCTTACGGAAACGTTCTCGAACCTTTTGTTCTCGTTCAAACTGTTGTCAAAACTTGTTTGCCCATTTAGTTCTTTGGTGTGAACGTTCTTGACATTACAGTTGGTTCTAGTGTAGAATTAAACCAAAACTGCAAGACGTTCTCGGTCCCTGGCATTTTGTAATGCCTAATTTTGTTATTAAAATTTTTGTCATTTAAATGCATAGTGGAAATACATACCGTATACGGTATAAGAGAAATAAAAGACAAACGTGTTTGTTAAATATCGCTTAATTAAGCTATAGAAATAGTTTATATTATTATGCCAAACCTACTCTTAAGTATGTATTGTATGCACGCCATATTGTAAATTTACATAAATACATACATATCTGTATCTATATTTAGTAATACTCATTAATTTATTATTTTTTTTTAATATTTATTTGAATTTCTTTGATTAACGTACATATCAAATTTGAAAAATATTAAAAGCAAATCGTTGACGCTCATTTGTACTCACCTTTATTCTTCCTCCTTCTTTTACAATCAATCAAATTATAGCGAAGCAGCAGTATCCAGTTTTCCTTATTGCACAGAATCTAGCTTAAATTTCTCCACATCAGCAACAGCGTACAGCGAGGATGATGCAGAATATGCTACCGGAAGACGTAATAAAACTTCGAGGGTAAATATTCTCCTTACTTTTTTTCGTAAAAAAAAAAAACAACAACATTTAGCAACCCAAGCGATGAGCGCAAACGAAATATTCGCACTAATCAGAATTCTATAATACTAATACGTACTCTACTCACGTATTAGCGTAACGTTAGGCTTATTGCTCGCTTGGTTGTTCTAAAACAAAAAATTAAAGAAAATAGCGAAACAAAATAAACCTTTGGTGAGGGAGCTCAGAGCTAACAGCGCAGTCAGGGCGTGGCGCACTAGAAGAAGACAGGAAGTAAATAGTGAAGAAAACTGGAAGTTGTTAAGAGGAAATGGCATTTAGTTTGACACCACCTCTGCACCCAGTGGATCAGCAGCGGCCGCGCGCATACTCGTACAAAATAATGTTCTTCTGCATCATCGCACAGAATCGCTAAACAGTTACAGAATAGTTTTGCAAAAATACATACATATGTACATACATATTTACATACATATATGAAATTGATTTCAAATAAAAATAAATAAACAAATGAATGAATGCACTGTGAACACGACCGCTTTTGAATCCAAACTTTGAATGCCAAACTGTGGTGCCCAAATACATACATACACACATACATACATACATATATTAATGAACACAAATATAGATAAGCATTTATGAGCTAAGATCAATAAGTTAGCTTAACTAGTTTTATGCATTTTTATGTACTTCCATACGCACATACATACATACATGCATAATTTATTCATATTTTTCGCCAATGGTTTTGAATAAAAGTTTACATCTGCTCCCTGACCGCCCCCCTCAAACACCGCAAATTCCTTACATGTACGCAAGCGCATATACATATGCACATACATACACATACATACATAACTACAGATATAATATTTAGGCATAAGCAGTTATGTATATCAAAGCAATAAATGCATAAAATGGTAACTTAAGCAAATTTTTTTTTTTTAGAATTGTGAAATAATGTTACAACCAGTTGCGCCATGGCCAGGGTCATGGCGATAATAAAGCAAAGATAACGCACTATCCCNTTTTTTTTTTTGGAATTGTGAAATAATGTTACAACCTGTTGCGCCATGGCCAGGGTCATGGCGATAATAAAGCAATGATAACGCACTATCCCTTCTTCTTCTTTTTCTTCTTTTGAATTGTTGTTTTATTTTATTTTGTAATATTTACATATGCCTTAAACACAATATCAAATCGAATCACAAATTTGTTTTCCTTTATTTTCCCTTCCAACAGCAAGATCCTTTGTCGCATCGCATCATTGAGAAGCGTAGACGCGATCGCATGAACTCCTGTCTGGCTGATCTCTCACGTCTCATTCCGCCGCAGTATCAACGTAAGGGGCGTGGTCGCATAGAGAAGACCGAGATTATCGAAATGGCCATCCGGCACCTAAAGCATTTGCAAAACGAGTGCATACAGAAGGAGAATGAGTATCGCATGGGCTACACCGACTGCATGAAGGAGGCCGCCAAGTTTCTATACGAAAGCCACATGGAGGAGTTTTGCTATCGCTTGGTGGCGCGCCTGCAAGAGCATTGCGTAGAGCTAATGAAAAGTGAGTAACTTTGCACATACACACATACATACACATTTTTTTAAACACGCTAATGCCCTTTTTGTATCTAACAGATGACTGCTACAAGTCGCGCAACTGTCATATACCCGACAACGTGAGCGCCTCAAGCGGCAGTCCACATCAAGCGTATCATACGGCGCCGCCGCTGTGTCAATTGCGTGACTTGCTAGGCAACTCGGACATCGAGCAGAGCAACGATCACAACGATGTAAAGGACTTGAGTTTCCGCAATCATTTGAATCAATTGCAACGTAATGTCGCTGTCGCAGCGGCAGCTGCCGCGGTCGCCAACAGCACAAGCACTAGCGTTGTACATGAGCACAATGGCAACGGCAGCCAGAACAATGCGCCCAGCAAGTGTACCACGCTATCGACGGGCGCGTCATTGAGTAATGCCACCAGCACGACGGCGGCAATATCTAACGGTGGCAGTGCGGTAGTGGTGGTGGGTGGCGCGCCAGCGGATACTTCACCGCAGCGTCCGCATCAGGCGCCGGTTATAACTTCTACCGGGCCGGCGACTTTAAATCACCATAACGAGTCGAGTAATCACGATTTTGAGTCATCGTCGCGTGAACCGCTACTACACACCGAAACGTCGAATATGCATTCCCCACCGCCGCGCGACTCCCTGCTGAATCATCACGCTCATCTGAGCCATCATCACAACACTACGGATAGCTTGCTGTCAGCGCGTATGCGCAACTTTTCCGAATCGTCACATGATATTGAACATAACAACAATTACAAGTACAAAAATCACATAAAAGAGCGCTTCAATCATGAGCTGCATGACGAGGAGACATCCAGCGAACATTGTCCGGCGCCACCGCTGTTGCAGAGCGAACATTCGCATACGCACTCGCTTTCGGAGCACTCGAAGGACGGCACCGAACCGGAAATAGCCCCCATCATGGCGAAGAAGCGCAAGTTAGCCGAAGCGGCGGCGGCGGCAGCGACAGTCGGCGGTGGCGTCAATAGCAACAGCGCTATGGACGACTGTGATACACGCCCTTTGCCGTCTGTGCGCACGCCAACCACCACAAGCACCAACGTCGGCGCCAGTTTGATGTGCGGACGCGATGAGAAACCATTCAGTTTCGCCGATATCAAAACTGAATTGAGTGCACCCGCAACAGGACTGATAGGCGCCAAATCACACTTGAGTACAGCTAGCAGCAGTACGCACGTGTCGCCTAATCTGCATGCGGCGCGCTCTTTTGCCGTGCCCATTTTTGCGCTGCATGGCCAAGGTACCTACTATGTGCCGCTCAACGTTGACTACAACGTGCTAGTGCCATTCCTCAATGGCGCCGATCTACTCGAGAAAAACTATGCGTCAATGCCGGTGGTGCATCCCGTAAATATCAATGTCAACTTTATGCCTGCTACAACGTCTTCATCGTTCCTTGCCGCCGCTGCAACAGCGGCTGCTATGGCGGCGGGTAAACAACAATTGCCGCCTATAAACGGCACCGTCTCCTCAACAGCAGCAGCAGCGGCGGCGGCGGCAGCCACTGCGGTGGCTGCGACCAAAGCCAAATTGGAGAGTATCAGTAATGGCTGGTAAATACGATACACGCACGCAAGTACGCACGCAATAAATATTTAAAACAACATGAACAACAACAGCAAAAGCAACAGCAACAAACGTACGCGATTTTAGGAAGGAATGCGGTGCAGCATCTGCTTGCCAGGCGGCTGGGTGGCTGGCTGGTCTTGAGTCGACTGAGGACGCGGACGCATTCCACAATCACTACAACTTATGTACGACAACAACTACTACAAGGGACAGCACTACCTCAGACATCTGTGAAATAAGATGAAACAATGAAAGTGACTTTACACCGAGCGTAAGTTAGAGCAGCTAAAAACACCACAAAGTGAGTGAGTGTTCAGCAGCGTTCGAAGTCAAGCAACCGATCGCAGCGTGGTGCGTCTGTCTACGCCTGAATGGCATACAGGGTGCACTAAGTAGCATGGGAAATGTACAATATGGTTTATAGTGAGGACTTACGTGGGCGCAAGAAAAACTTGTATAAACACCCCCAACAATAGCAACAGCTACAATAATTGTGAAACATTTCTATTGAATTTGAATTAGAAGAAACAACAAATAGAACAAATAAAAGGAAAGCAAAAATTTGAATATTTCACCAAGGTTTCGTCTTTTTTAAGAATGAAGTAGAAACTAAAAACAACCATATACATATGTACATAATAAATAAAATAAAATAATATTTAAATAGTTCACTATTTGCAATGTTTTAACTTTGCAATTACATATTTTTTGCTGTGCTCTCTGAGACTGAGACAGCAATGCGAATTTACAGAAAGTTTTGCAGAGCTATATGAACATACATATGTGTGCAGTATATAGTATGTATGTAGGAAATACATATGTATGTAAGTAAGTGTTTATGTTTCTGTATAGCCAAGCCATGTTTGAAAAATTGTAGCATCCAAATATGTATATATGTCTGTATTTGCTGTGCGCATGAAGAGCAACTTAAACAAAAAATGCTACTAGTCAAAAGCTGCATAGAATTAAAACAAAAATAAAAATAAAAGTAGAAAAAAAACCGTTTAAAATATGTAATCGCCATTAATGAAATAGTTGAGGAGGCGCAACCACTCATGGCAGACGCATAAATGTGTTTTTATGTTAGTATACATTCATACATACATATGTATGTATATATAGATAGTAATAAGTACTATTTGAAAGTCCTAATTACGTAAGCTTAGATGTGTACGTACATATGTAATACTAAAGATATGCCTACATATATTATGTACACTAAATGTAAATTGAAGAAATTTAAGTGAAATTGTAAAAATTTGTTTAATGTAAGATTACCACTATGGATTCGTTGAATTTATTTGCCAAATGGAAAAGGATACGTAAAAAGTGAACTATTTTCATAGTACTTGTCTGTTAGGGAATACAAACATACAGTATGTACATATGTATGTAGTATGTTGATTTAAAGTGAATACTTTATATAGATAAATTATGTAATTTAGGCGTTAAAGAGTGCAGATGTTTTAAATTGAATAAAAAAACGCTTTTCAAAAAAGTACACTAGCAAGACAAAATGAGAACAGTACAATAATGTAAAAAAAAAAAACAATACCATTTCTTAAGTTTTTTTTTTTTGTTCACGGACCACAAATAAAAATGAAAATTGCCCGTTTTGTAGTTTTGCTATTTTCCACTCAACAATGATAATGCATACGGGTCAATCCATGTCAAAGCGACCAATGTTTGGAATGGACCATTTTTGATTCATTGAAATTTCGGGGAGCGCTTTTCGTTTATCACGTAATGAAAGTAAAAGATTTTGAAATTTTCAAGCTGTTTTTTTAAGATATGAATTTTGAATTTTGAAAAAAATTTTGTAAACTGAAAATCCAACCATGTTTAAATTTAGTTTTCGGTTAGAGTTTGCTAAAAGAGAAAATTCCAGTTCTTATAATAATATAAATTACAGATACTGTTTAAAAAAAATTTTACGAAAAATTAATATGTATGAGTTTTAGCTTTTTCGGTTTTTTAAATTCTAAAATTCTCTATTTTTATATCTTAAATATGTTGCTCTTTATCACCTTTAAAACGAGACCAGAAGCACTTTTGTAATTATTTTAAATTCTGAACTTTCGAAGAGATTTTATATATGTTTTTCTTCGGCAGAACTTTTTTATATGATAAATGAAAAGCTCTCACCAAAATGCATCCAAATCAAAAATGGCCGATTTGACATGTATTGACCCATACATACATCCTTATGCCGGATTACCACTGGTAATTAAATGACGAACATTTTAATGACAAATTTGTGCAACAAAAATACTCGTGTCATTAGGTTAAAAAATAGTGATTAAGTTTTACCTTGTTTAAACCGACACTCAAAGCGCGTAAGTCAAGACGTATTCGGAAGTATTGCAAATGAAAAAAACCGAAGCAGCTGTTCGTTGACATAGCTCGGGATTTTTTTTTTGGGCCACTTCAGGACCAGTTTAGTACTAGTTCAGAACTTTTTCGGGGGTCGTTCGGGACTTTCTCGGGCCATTTTGGGCCTAGTTCTCAGCAACCGCGGGGTCCTTTTGGGATCACTGCGGGCCTATTTCAGGACTTTTTGGGCATATTTCAGAAGTTTTCGGCTTTAGTTCGGGACACTGACGTTTACACATCGAATTTCATAAGTACTTGTTACTCTGGTTATTTTGTTATTATTTCTCACATCCCACTATGTCCCATTTTTTATGGTTAAAAATGAATAATAAATATGATATTTTTTTATGGATTGGCGACTGATTTCCCAAATTTTTGAAAAATTGAAAAAGGCTGAAATATTTTTTTCTGAATATTGTTATTTTTTTAATAACAATGTCAGTTATAAAAACTATTTATACAGAGGCTATTTTTGAAAATATTGGCAAATAATAAGTATATTATTTTCAGTTGAAAAGCTGGAAATTGTGAATTCCCTAATTTGTCTGCTGAAAATTTGAGACCTTTGCGGCCTTTGCAGCAACAAAGTTGCTTACAGACTTTTGTTTGCTCTCTTTATTGAGTTCTCCCCGGTAAATGGCAAATAGTCCACTACTGACAGTATCAAGAATACCTATAACAAAGCAATTTTCTCAGAAATCGCAGCATAGAATTGACGAAATAAACTCAAAGCTCTTCATTTTATATGTTTTTGATAGTCTAAATACGGTCATCATTTTAAAGACTTTTTCAACTATAGTTTTTAAGAAAAAAAAAAAAAAAATTAAAGCTTAGGTCAGAAGTATGTATTTTTTTTTCAAAATTTTTCATAAAAATGCAATCATAGAACATTAAAGTACTTCCTGTTTACTTTATTTTGTATACTTTTCTTAAAGTTTTATAGCAGGCTTCATTAACGCTGTAAAGACACAGGTCAAATTCGTTTTTTGTTAATGTGGTTCTTGCGCTGGTATAAACAAGGCACGTTTTTTGACATTTCAATGACTAGTGGAAATTCGGCATTTCTAAACATTTGATGTTTTATTGTCTGAAATGCATAAATTTCGAAATTATTTCATGTCATGGAGTTCAGAGAAGTTGATATACATACATACTTATGTACATAAAGGCAAGCAGTTAAGTGTTAATGATGATAATGTTGATGAAAAAATTGCAAAGTCCTAAAAGCACACGTTCTTGAGTGTTTTAAATATGAAGTTTTTATTATTGTTGTTAAAGATGAGATAAAAGCTAGCTAAAAAAAAAGTCGTAAAAAAAACGTATATAAATAAGTAGGTATGTAACTAATTGTGCGAAATACGAGTGAAAGAATATTATTCCCACCAAATTTACAAATTTAATAAATAAGACTAAGCCGAAATCTACACGTGTGACGCGTCTGGTTTGCAAAAAAAAAAAACTTACAAGCAAATTACTACACTCTTTTTGTGGTTATTGGCGTGTATTGCGTAAAACTAAAAAATAAATAAAATAAATAGAGGCTATTTCTGAATGCAACGCAGTTCGCTTTTTCGTTAAATCAATGGCCATAATGCTAACACCAAGACATATTGAACACGCAGATTAGCAGTGAAGCAACTGATTGGATTTTTTTCTTGTTTCTTGTTTTTTTTTTTAATTATTTGGGCTCTAAAATGTCAAATATTTTTTAATTTCTTTTTACAAAAAAAAAATAAATAAATTGCAAAAATGTACGTAGAGAATACTTTTTGACACTTTAGATACCAGCAGCACAAAAAAAAAACAATAAAAGTAAATGTGGTTTTTGCTCCAATGCCTATTACCTGTTTCATATGGCTTGGTAACACCGAATTCGTTTACTTACTACCGTTTAGCATACCGAGTCTAATGAAAATCGGTCTTTTATGGATTCAGAAATAGCTGCGAATAGTTAGTAGCGTGGCAACTTGGAAGTTAAAAGAACTTTTTTTGAAATATTCTGCTATTTACATATGAATCAGTTTAGGGTCAAGTTTTAGTTTTGTACGAACTTCGAAAGAGAAAAATGTATTTCTTTTCTTTATTTCATTCAATCATTTTAACCAGTGAAAAACAAAAAAAAACTATTATGCTGAATTTCAAAAAACCAAGGCTTAAAATGTTCGTGCAAGACAATGGTTAAAGTCCTCGTCGTTCGCATGATGTTCTCTGTATGCATCAAGGGTGCCTTTGTATTGTTCTAACTCTTTTGGAAATTGTACAATCTTAACTGTTAAAAACTGAGTTTTATTGTTTCAGTCATATGACAACATTTCAATAAAGCCAACAAATTTTTTTGCGTGCGATAATAAACGGCTTGCCAAATAAAAAGTAAAGTATTTAAATAAAAAAAAAAAACAACGAGTATGCAGATTTATTGCATCTTATATGCGTAGATTAAATTGCAAATTTTAACTGGCTAAGAATTCCGATTGTTTAAAATTTTTTTTTGAAGGTTCTACGCACTTCCTTCAATTTAAAGCATGCACAATATGTTATTGTAACTAGTTTTTTATTCACTTGTTAAAAGCTAATCGACTGATACCAAATTTACTTAAATAGTATTATGGGTTTGTTTTTATTTGGTCAAGCATTTTATTCTTTATAAAAAAAATTTGGCTTGGTTTAGTTGTTTTTGTGTCATTCAAATAATAAAAGTCAACTTTTTACTGTAATCAAAAAATTCTAGCCGGAAATAAACTTTTTTCGAAACTTTTATTTTAAGTCATAACTGGTCGGGTGCCTGATATTGAGCGATTCTCGTTCATTAAAAGCATTTGCTTTAACAACTAGCAAGTCATTATTTAGTAAATTAATTTTGTCAGTGAAAAGCAACGAAATTCTTTACAATTTCTTTTTTAGTAAACTATCTACTTCTCTTTTTCACAGCCACAAAACGTTGTGAAAAAACCCTTTCATTTCACAGCGAAATCTTTTCGACAAATATTTTTTTTTTTTTCATATAAAAACCATTATGAGATGATTCGCCTGAGATCGGCGTTTGCATGTCGAGACGGGGAGTTAAGGTCTACAATTTATTTCCATTTGTCCGGTAACTTTTGTTCGAAGTACTGAACTTTTTAGCAACATCGAATAAAGCAAAAAAAAAAACTTGGCAGCATTACGAACACTTTTTGGCGGTGCATTTCTAAATTGATAAATTTGTAAAAAGGTTAATTCATAAGTTCATGTTCTAATTTTAAACGCTTGCTAGTCAAAGAAAAAACTCTTTGAGTTCTTATTATTTATAAGTATTATGTACGTGTGTACATATCTGTGCCCGGCAATTTAAAAAAGCTTAAATGACTTTAGAAGGTTTGACTTTGAATAAAATACATAAAAAAATTTTGAAAAATTTTGTATTTTTGTGAGGTCTCTATCAAGATGGCATCTTGAATTACATCTAGCAATCGTTAAAATATTATTTTGGAACCGGATGAAATATCGCTTTAAAGGGAAAATGGCCTATCTCGACTTAGGTTATGTACATATATTGTTTTGTTGAATAAGTTAAAATCTACCGCATCTTTTTCTCAATTCTATCGCATATAAAAAAAATAAAGTTTGCACCTGGCCTCCTACTAAATATGTAAACAACAGAACATTTCAAAAAAAGTGCATAAGAAAAGCTAAAATTGTCAACGCTTCCTTGCTTAAAAAAAACGCGAAATTTTTTGACTTGGTAGCCTAATGATATGTATAATATACATATTATGTATGTTTTAGGCATACTTGTTTGAATGAAGGTACTTTAAAGCTGTAAAAGTAAAAGGGTACATATGTACATATATATGTAAGTGCATATGTAGTTAGGTGTATGTATAATGTTATTTCTTTTAACCGTTAATATTTGTATACAAATGTATTACAAATAGATTTACTATCACTTTATTGTAATGTTAACTATTTACATGTATGGATTTATGTATATATACATATATGTAAGTATATAAATATATTATTTTACATGTAGCTAAATACTTAAAATTTAAATGTATGTAATTATTATTCAAATGAAAGTATAGAAATAACAAATTTATTAAAATAAAAGTTTATATGAATGTTAAAACTGTGAAAAAATTCTTGTTATGCATTTAAATGAAATGTGGTTACATTTGTTGGTAAATAAAGGACATATTGTTGCTGTAAAGGTCGTTCTGCTTTCTACTCCTTATTTGGCGCTCCGGATGGGAAAAACAATCATTCTAGCGCGAAGAAAATCTAACTTTTATTTTGCTAAAATTTTGATAGGAGTGTGCTTTTAAATCCTCATACTTTACGGTTAGATTTTGATTTTTATCAATTGCTCCGAAAATATAAATTATCGCGCATGTTATCGATATTTGTATCAATAAATGTATCGATTTTAGAATCGTTATATTTATCTCTCATCGATTTGTTGCAAGAAAAGTATTATCGGCCGATAGGACTCTCCTTTGTTGGCCGGTTTTCCCGGTTGGAGTAGTGGGACCACTTTCCCCATTTTCAGGGCCTTCGTGAGATAATCTACTACCGCAGAACCCAAGTTTTTTACAGCATCAGCATGCATATTCCTTGTCCTTGTTTACCGCTAGAGCAACCTCAGGTCAACAATGTCGATATAATCCGCATACGCCAGTAGCATAGTTCTTTTGCCGTTTATGGTGCGACTGCGATTGGCAGTTCTTATCGCGCTTTACAACTGGGGTATTCCCAACGGCGTCGTAATTGTCGTATTGCTGTTAAAAATAGAGTCAGGTTTTCTAAACATGTATTTAACCTTTTAAAGTTTACGACACACTACAATACGACGCTTACCGCACCGTAAGCCAACCAACCAAGCAATATATTGAAAAAGTGGAACTTATTTGCGCAAGTAAGGAATTTCCCTCTATTATTGTTTAGAAATAAAAGAGACTGATGCTGACGAACGCAGCCTTGATAATAAATAAAAGTAATGATCTTTTGAAAATATAAAACCGCGCACGAAACGGTTTTCTCGAGCGGTTATTTACACATACATATTTAGTTGAGGTACCATTGCAACTAAAGATTTAAATTAAATTTGGTTCTTAATTGCCACATTATTTAATTTTGCTGAAAATTTTATAAGCCTCTCTTGAATCGTTTTAAGCAATTGAAAAATTTTTAGTGGTGATATAGTTATAGAGTGTATGTACTTCCAATAAAAATGCCTCAAACTAAAAATTCTACAAATTTGCTTTCATGCTGGCAACTTATGCATTTCGCGCATGTTGTGTTTATTTAATGTTTAGTTATTGATACATCAAATGCACTTAATTACAATATATAGTAAAGAACATTCACATCCATTGTATTCATTAATGTGTTGCATTTATAACGTATAATGTGAAATTATTTTTATACGCCAGATTATTTTTTCCTAGTTCTGCCTTGAAGTTAATTTCGTTAAATATTAGTGAAATATTTTTTTGTAGTTTTTGCTTCTCTTGTAGAAGATACTTTTGCTCGCTATTTGGTAGAAATGGCGTTTAATCGAGACGAGTACATCAAATAAATATATAATTTGCAAGAATTGCAATTACGGTGCCATCAAATGGACAACGTGTGTACATAAATGACAAATTTTATACAGGAGTGCCTGCATTTTTATCTACTCAACTTGCATACTGTGGCATAGATATGCGATACAATTTAAAGGAGAATAATAATGTAGAATATTCTATGGTCATATATGTAATGCAATAAAGCATAATTAAATTTAAAATTATTGTTTTGTAAAAACAAATGAATTAATAAAAACTTGTACAATTGAAGAGAAAATAATTTCAGAGTTTAAAATAGACAGCGTTGTCAACTACTCCATGGGGCATTGAATTAATTGCGGCGTGCACGTCTACGTGAAGCGTTTGAATAAGCCGCTGACGAATTTGCCGGATTGGGATGTTGACCGCTATACAAATTATCGAGGAACTCATGTAACGATGCTTCGCTGTATTAAGAATACCATACATATGTACATAAAAAAATATTATAGAAATTTTACATAATATGAATAGCCATAACTAACCTTGGCGGCACATTGCGCCTAAATTTTCCATTGCCGTTTTTTTCATGTTGTGACCCAGGCTGCTGCGAATATGGCTGTTGAGGATTCTGGTGATGTGGTGAATGATGTGGATTAGTGGAAGGCTGTTGCTGCGATTGTTGTTGTTGTTGTTGCTGCTGCTGCTGTTGTTGTGCGCCACGCACAATGCGATATTGCACCATATGAGAATTCGGTTCCAAATGAGAAAGGGCACCCTTTTGACAGTTAGCCCATTCGGTAATGTCATAGACCTTCCCTTCCATTAGTGCTAAATATCTCCAACGCAAACCCAATATGCTGGTTTCCGCCCAAATATCACCCTGAAAACAAAATTAAGTAAAATCATAAATTGTTTCTACATACGTACAAACTTAAGCCTAGCACTACTCACTTCCCTGGCTGAATGACGAATTTTGCACGAAGCGCATTCTCTCGCTGCATAGTGCGGTCGATCCGTTAGCCGCCGGGGGTGCCTCAGACCACAAGTACTACACCTAGACAATAACATTTCGATATTTAAATTATTTGTTGTTACGCTATGACTGGGATGTAGAAATGATTGTACCTTATTGTATTTGCTGCTTCGGTTATTTTTGTTTGTAGTTGCGATAGTAAATCGTGCAATTCAGTCCACGCCTTTTCGGCGTGTAAAGCTTCAGCTAGACTCTGATCATAGGCAAGACGTTTTTCCTAAAGTCAAAATAGTATCGCAATTACATCAGGCATCTCATCATAAAGTTAAAATACTTTACCGGTTCTCCAATCAATTCAAAGGCTCGTTGAAGCACTTTAAAAGCTTCTTCGGCCCCTGCTTGTTTATTCTTGTCTGGATGCACTAAAACAGCGATTTTCTTATAGTGTTTGCGTATTTGTTCCTGTGAACAATCAGGCGGTACGCCCAATATGCTGTATACGGAATTCAAAAATTTAGAATTTAATGCCATAAATTATATATAGGATATTTACCTGTAAGCATCCTTGCCCTTACAATTAAGTAGCGAATACATGGCTTCCTCACCCGTTTGCGGCAGTCGTCCACTTTTCATATTATCTGCAGTTGGCTCAGGTGGCTTCTTTTGATAGAAGCGACGCCAAAAAGCCCATTGCGAATTCTTTTTAAAACGCGCGTCAAATAGTCGCAGATGGTTTTTAAGCCAAATACTCGGTTTGTTTGAGTTCTGCTTAAAGTCCTGGCGCAATTGCTTCGCGTACACAATTCCACATTCACAAGCATGTACCAGACGATCGTACGCTACACTAAAGCCGAGCACCACAATATCATATATCAAATAGAAGAGCCAGGTCAGTATCATTATGGTGTATTCCAGCCATGTCCGTAGAAACTTTTTAGCTAACTCGTAGTTTCTATTCGATGTCCCAGCCGAGGTATTGCTATAGGAGTTTGTATTTCGGCTACGTTTCGACGAGTACGAATAGGAGGAATTCGAGTTGGCATTACTATACCGTGCGCGTGACTGATTCGTGTTGAAAGATGAAGAGTTAGAGGTGCTATAAAACGATGATGAGAATTTGTTTGATTTCCGTGTAGTTGCTGTTGATGTATTAGTATTGTTGGATGCTGGAACGAAACCATTATTAGTTGCTCTGGATGCACGTTCCGTTGTATCATTATTTTTTGCTGTAACGTTGTAGTAAGCATTGAAATCTTTTTCCAAATTTGCGTCATTTATTTTTTGAGTTTTTGTTACATTTGACTCCCCTTTGTTTGCATCTGTATCGTTGCGTTTATTGTTTAGGCGCTTTTTACCATTTATGTTGTTGTTGTTTTTATTAACACCGTTAATGCCATTCGGAGCGCNTTATCATGTGTCGGAGATTTTTTACTTGAGCGCCCTTGACTGATATCATCACCAACACTCAATGGTCTTCGCCCCGTACCACTCCCGCCAGAACCGTTTTCCACACCTCCCCTATTTTCAGCTTTCCTCTCAGAACCCGATTTTCCGTTCTTCCCCAACGAATGCTTATTATTGTTGTGCGATTGGGTGGAAGTTGATTGTTGATTGTTTATTTTGCTCAAAACGTCTGAATAGGACATTCGCATTGGCTTTACCTCAGCCACAATTCGTTTCTTCACTTCAGGCGCGTTATTAATATGGGCAATTGCTGTTGGTGCTGTTATTGTAGCACCAGATGATGTATTTGCGACTTCGATCGCTGCCTCTTTGGATTTATTATGGTTTTCAGTTGATGGCATATCAATGGGCGGCACTTGAGTTACAGGCAATACTGGCATAGGTTTGGATAAAATTGTTGTAGTTGTGACGGAAAGTGGCATTGGTTCTTCAGCAAATTCAGAATCGTTAGTTGAATTTTGCGAACATCCAACTTTGGCAATTTCAGCGTCTTTAACAGCATTAGATGTTTCCGGGCTCAACAGCGTTGGGGCAGATTGCATTGGTATTTGTTGGATTGGTGCACCAGTCACTTTGGGTGACCAATTATTGACCAGTTTATTAATAATCATATTTGTGGTTGATGTACCAGCAGTTTGTGGTAAGATGGGTTCGTCATGGTTGTTCAGCATAAAAATAGGAGCCTGCTGTGATACTTGCATTGTTGTTGCTTTAATTTCGGTTCGCCCCAGAGTTGTTTGGTTATCTGGGGTTGGCATTAAAGTATTGCTAGAGAACAGCTCATAGCTGTTGAAGAACTGCGGTGGTGGTGGCTGCGACTGTGTTTGCCGCATATGAAACGCTGCCTGCGCCTGGTGCTGAAATTGATGTGAAGGCGGCGGAGGTTGCGGTCCAGCGTGATAAACTGCATTGCTCTCTGTGGGCAAACCAGCGGCAGCAGCATTTTCTTGGCAGTGATAAACTTTCAGAAAATTTCCATGTCCAACTGGTAGCACTGAATATGTCTCTGGTTGACCTGGCTGAGTTGCGTACAAATTGTAGAAGTATTCATTGTAATGTTGCGGCTGCTGATGCTGTTGTTGGTGCCGAGGATGTGCTTGCGATGCCATAAAAGGTGAGCCCATCAGAAGTGTTTGCGGCGGTGGACCAGCGGCGTTCATACGTTGTGCTAGCACTTGTGGTGCGACATCCACGCCGACTGCCGAAGGCAGAGGACGGTAAGCATCCTCGTTCCTAGCGCCATTATGAGAGGACATGTCAGAATGCGTCCAGCACTGCGCACGCTGGCGCTTTGCTCAGATTGCTGGAATTTGACGAGTAGCGAGTGAGTATGTGTTCATCAAAAGCACGTCGCGCGTTGCGTCCTACTTTGATAGATTTTGCTGCGGCATTAGGGATGTTGATCCCATTTAAATAACTATTTTACAATTATAATCATCAAAACTCCAAAATTCTGATTCTTTGCACAGATCAAACGGATTATAATTGGTTTTTGATGAGTATTTATTGTTGTTTGTATCAACTGAAAATTCTTTACTTTTATCAAATGGGTTTCTTTTTGTTCGTCGACAAAGCAAAAGAAAATGTCAAAAATTTATTAACTGTCAAAATTGATGAAGGGAGAATAAGGAAAGCAAAACAAAAAACAAAACGTCAAAGTACCGGAATTTTGTGGAATTCACTACCGGAAATCGTTTGAATGCTCTACCGGAAGTATAGGATGGGAACTTTTTTGACTGGATCTGTGTTTTCTGAAGGGTATCAAGTAGAAAGTAGGGGTAAAAAGTAAATTCTTTACTGTTCGTCGACAGAGCAAAAGAAACTAGAGTTAGCTGCGATTGTACGAAGTCAATTGGTGAATCGGTTCGGGGCTATGGCTTCGCTAAATGACTAATAGGATAACGTAAATTTTAGTTTGGTTTCCGTTTTGCATTTCCGTTCACATATCTGAAAAATCATTGATTCTGGAATTTTTACATTTAAGTTTAAACGGGCTCCAAAGAACATAGATCAGAGCTGGCGAACCTAAGGCACGCGAGCCATTCACTGCACGCAACAAAATAATTTGTGCACGGTATTAATTGAGGACTCATCCTCAATTACTAATAGTAGTATTTACTACCTAATCGGCGCAATTTCTTTTTTTTTCGTTAAATTGTAGATCAAAGCAAGATCTCTTCCCATCCCAGAAAACAGGTCAGAAGAGTCAAAAATACAGACAGTTACCAACAAAATCCACATAAGACATTCTAATCTTGATTTCTATTGCATCATTCTCTCAAAAATAATAGCAGCACCTTTTTTGGCAGATATTACATTGATAATTGTGCCAAGGCGGTATCTAACTTCAGTTTCGTTTATATTTTGACTATGAATAGCCCCATTGTTTCCAAAAATTGCAAATGTTTGCCAAACTTAGCAAATTTAAAATCAGATTTCAATTTAGAGAAAAAATCGGCTGTTTAAGAGTTAAGAGCTTTCTTTGGTAATAAATTCTCCTAGCGACGAATTTTCATCGAGGTTTTCTGAATTCAAGAAGTTATCGGAAACACTCAAATTTATTATGTATCCTGTGTGCCGATTCCTGTTCTGTGAAAACGTGAACTGAAAACATTTTTCATCACTTCACATAAAATTACGATTCTGTTTTCAAATGTAAATTAATTAATTTATCAAAAATTTTTCACTGTGAAAACTTTTTCTCACAAAGTTTTGTGGCTGTGAAAAAAAGTTGAGCGTTTTTCTTAAAACCATCATGTTGTGATAAAGAACATCATTGTCTTAAACTCACAATAATTTATTAAATAATTACTTTCTAGGTGTTAAAGGAATTGCCATTAATGATAGAGAATCGCTTAAAATGATATAACGAAACGAACTTTTTAAATTTGGTAATACTAAAATGTTGGAATTCAGAAATCTTCAAACGATTTGAATGTTGAATAAGCAAAAACAAACGTACATCTGCATTTTCACCTCATTAAATATATCGTAGCGAAGAAATTTCAATTTCTGAAGGTATTTTTGTTAATTTGTCTGTGTATTTGCGTACAATTTAGCAGACTGCCAAATGATAAAAAACTGCCACGTAAACAAAAAATGGGCCCACGGTGTATCCGACAGTTTTACCAGTTTTTACCCGCGTAGCGTTCCTGTACTTTTTGGGTTTTCCCTCTTTCTCTGAAAACAATTTTGCTTTTTACAGTTTTACAGGTTTTGTCCAGAAAAGTTGAGTAACAAAAGTCTTGTTTCATTTCCCTTCAAATAAATGATGTGTTTATATCTGCAATACCAAGTTAAAGAAACCTGAGGTAATTAAGAGTTTAATAAATACTCAAGTAAAAAAATCTTTCGTATTAAGAAAATACCCGAGTAGAAAAAAGTTCAAGTATTTAGGAAAGTTTAGATATTATAGAAAAAAATTGCTTGGCTATCTGATGGCTGCTAGATACTAGAGTACAAAAAATTAAAGTACTTAGCAGGCGCTAAATACCCTGCTCCAAACTACTTAGGAACCTTGGAGACGCAAAAAATAATGTCACTAAAGTACCAAGGTATTTAGTAGATGCCTACATATTTTTAGGAGAAATTTAAATTTACCTTACAATAACTTCAACTTACCTCACCACAACTAACTTCACCGCACCTCAAATCAACCCACTATACACAAACTCACCACATCTCACTTAAACTCACCCCACCTGAACCTACCACACGTATATATATTAACCAAACCTTTACTCACCACATCTCATTTCGGAATTTCCGTTGCGTTTATCTATTATGATGTCAATATATTTATCGATATTTTCATCTATATACATATATATCGATATTTGTATTGATATATTTATCGATAACAATATCGATATATTAATCGTCATTATAATAAATACATATATTTATCGAAATGTTGTATATAATATTGGTATTGTAACCGATATAGTACTTGATGATAGAAATTTCTATTGATATATTTACCGATATCGATATATCAAAGCAGTTTCGAGAATCCCGAAATTCTTTATTTTTTACACTGAGGAAATAGCAAGTACTTAGTACTTAATTAAGTCATAAGTACTAAGTGGTTTTGTATCTTGTATTTGGTGAAGACAATCTCTAAAAACTTTCGTATGAGGTATTTAGTGGTATGTACCAACCTATGTACATTATGGTGGTCCAAAATAAGTTTAGCCGGAATTTCAAGCTCTCGCCCTCTAGGATTGTTCTATATCGAAAAAAATATACCCTTATTTTTGTTATTTTGAAAGCTCTCAAAGTTTTCCATGTATTTTATATGGGGAAAAAAGAACTTTTCACAGAAATGGTATGGAATTCTTGAAAATCAATATTTTACGATCGGAAAACTCTGTTTCTCTTCAGGAGACTTTCAATAACAATACTCAATTATTTATTTAACCATTTTTTAATACTAAAGATGCCTTATTTATCTCCCCATTTCTGGGGGTTTTGGCGGACCTATAAAATATAGTTACTATGAAAAAATGGTTAAATAAATGATTGGGTATTATTATTGGGAATCTCCTGAAGAGAATCTCCGATCGAAAAATATTGATTCACAAGAATTCTATACCATTTCTACGAAAAGTGGTTTCTTCCCATATAAAATACATGGAAAACTTTGACCGCTTTGAGCGACCCGTATATATTTTTTGATTTCAAAATAACAAAAAAGGGGTATATGTTTTTCGGTATAGAACAATTCTAGGAAGTGCGAGCATCAAAATTCCGACTTTACTTTTTCACATACATTTTGGACCAGCCTAACGTACATACGTACATAAATATTTAGTATTCTACGGAACTGTGAGCGCGATGAATGAAACATGCGAAAAAGCACGGCCGGTGATTTTTGCAAAACGTTTTATTTTTTTTATGTTTATTATAATTTTAATTAGTCACAGTTTGTGTTTGAATACCCTACCAGATGTTTTGTGCTTTCTAGAATGACAGTAAAGATATGGGTATTTTTTTCTACTTTGCTCCTAATTTTACATACAATAACTATGTGTCAATATGAATATTGCCTTGATGTCTGGTAAATGTCTCGACCACCTCGTAACTGATAAAAACTTCGCTTCAGTGCTAAATGTTATAAAAAAAATATATATATTTGAATTTTCCAACCTAAGGCGCTTTAAGCAATCGCGTATCCCTTCTGTTGAAAGACTTTTAGCTTTGTTTCGTTCATTTATCCGCGGAAAATAAATATAAAGTTATTTTCGAAAACACATAACACATTAATATGAATGCCTCCCTGGTTCTCATAAGCTAAACAAGCTGCTCAGAATGGTGTAGGGTACATACGAGTGCATGTGTTCGTATAAATAGGAGTATGTAAATGCATAAGTACATTGCGAACAATTGGCGGAAGCAATTTATACAACTCAAATCAATAAGTGCAGTTTAAAAGTATGACTTCTGTTGGATTGACCTGTTTATTGTTGGCACTCTTAGCTGGGCTTTCGGCGCAAGTGGCGTCAGCTAATACAACAACTCCAACACCGCCACCGACATGTAGGCCAGGACTTATTGTGGATTGTGCTCCACAAATTGAGGATTTGGTATGGGCCAAAGATGAAAATAACGAATGTAGAACGATTTTAAATCCGTGTTTTTACGCCCAAGCCAACTGCGACCGCTCTCGTCAGAGGCGCCCATGTGAGTAGGCGGAAATTTGAGATAAGATTTCAGTATAATTAAAGACACATACATACATAATTACAAAAAAACATAACGATTTTCCTTGCTTAGTGCTTCAGAGGATATCGCAGACAGAATGTCAATCATTGTGTGTAAATGATTGCTCCAATGCGCCGAGGGAAACAATCTGTGCACATCGTGGTGGAAGATATTGCACCTTCCCCAGCCAATGCGAGTGGAGGAAGCATCTGTGTAATACCGGCGAATGTGCGTATTTTATCTACTTATTTGAGTATTTACATATTTCTCCATTAACTATGCCATTGTTTGTTTCTTTACTTGTTTACAGTCTGGTATCAAGAAGGCCCACTTCCTTGTGGACCAAATCCTGTTCCGTGCTTCCCTTAATGTTCTTGCTTTTTCACTCGACTGTAAAATTTAACTTACGCATGAAAATATAAGTACATACATATATGTACATACATATATCCCTAATTATTTTTAATACATACATGTTACATTAGGGTGCATAACCAAAAAAATTGCGATCTTTCCACAGAAATTATAAATTTTTTAATATTTTTAGACTTTTGCCAAAATATTTCGGAAAACATTAAGATTTACGTGAGCAAGACCGATTTGAAAATAGCTTCAAACTACTCACACTACTTTGGTTCGATGGATTAAATTTTTAAGCTAAACCTTCTATCATCTGAGGTGCTTTTTTAGAAAAAAATATTTAAAATTTTTTTTTCTATAAACAACTTGATTTCTTAACTTGAAATCTTAATTTTTGTCTAAATATATTTTGGAAATGGAGTTTTTTTATGAATAAAAAGAGTTTCTTAAAGAACTTTTTGAAAAAGTTCCCCCATATGACAGAACAGATTAAACTTAA